AAAGATCATAGGCTAGAAGGAAATAGTTCTTATGCTTCTTGGAGATTCTAAAATCCTCAAGCAAGGGAGGAGCCAGTTCTGTTTGTTACAGACTATGTGAGAGTTAACCAGGAACTATAAATTTCTAAGGTTTCATTTCCCCCTTAGAAAACTGATGCACTCATACTACTTTGCTCACGTATGTTAAGCAATTGACATATTGACTACACTTAGCAGTTAAAATACTAGGTATAAAGGTTTACTGAGGGTGGGACAAGGGACAGGACGAGTCCTCAGCAGCCACTTTCCTCAAGGTGCTTGGCTCCTCTGCTTCCTTTGGCATGATGTGCATCCCACACACTTCATAAACTTAAACACCCACTTGGCCTTGGTGTCCCTGAACAGCTCCAAGTCATACAAGCTGCACACATCTGGAATCATACAGCTGTGCCTCAGCTTGCTGACTTTCTCATCACCCCTTGACCCTTAGGCCCTGGGGCAGCACAGAGGAATGGCTTCTCTTCTTTGATGGCAGCGGAGGCAGGAAGGGCCTAAAAATAGTGTTACCACCATTAATAAAACAATGATAATCTCAAATTGGTCAGAATTCTCTAGATAAAATTTTCCTAAATTGATCAACATGATTCCAATTTAATTGTGGGAGTCTCTGTTCTTCACATTTAGAAAAGGAAATTGAATTTTTGCATGCTCTCAGAAATTGCCTAGTGATACGACTTTAAAGAAAATAATGCATAAAATGGAAATCATCCTTTATGTTGGCTATGGCCAGCACAATAACATACATTCCCTACAGTATTTGTTTTGCTTTTTTTATTTTAGTGATGATGTTTGTTGTTTTTTTTTTTTTTTAGTTTTTTTTTCCTTTGTTTTGGTATGATGGGGGCTGAGCTCCAGCTTTGTGTGTGCTGAGAAAATGTTCTACCTCTGAGGTACAACTTCAGCTTGAATAATTTCTGTTTAAAAATAGAACAGAGTTGCTACTCTGATAAGATGGCTCACTCAGTTAAAGTACTGTCCTCAAAGCCATGACAACTTGACCATCAGTGCCCTGGTTAAAAAAAAAAAGTCAAAGAGGCAGAGACAGGAGACTATCTGGGGCTTCCTGGTGAGCCAACTCAGCCTAATAAATTACCCTTGGGTTCCAGTGAGAAACCCTGTGTCCAAAAGACAGGTGAACAGCTCCTGGAGAATGGTACCGAGGTTGGCCTCCTGCCTTCAGACACACACATGAACCCAAACACACACACATCCACATCCGAGCATACACACATCATACACTCATGCATCCTGCAGACACACACATGCATGAACACATCATACACAGACACACAGCATACACACATACACATCACACACACACACACACACATCATGCATCATACATACAAACACATGCACACACACTCATCATACACAGACACACATACATATAAACCAAAGTCTCTATGAATACAATGTTATAACCCTGACCATGCTTTGATTTTTAAAAAAGTTCATTAAAATAATCAGAAGAGAGAAAAAAGAAAGAAGTTCTCCAATGAAAATTTGGGGAAATATGATAAAAGGACAAGCTCAAAGGAACGGACAAAGGGTAACGATTTTCATGAAAAGTGTGTAATGGAACTTAACCACACATGTATGTTACACACACCTACAACTACACATCTAAGGTGTGCATATTTGCATTTTCGCCTTAAGCTTCATTTTTATAATTGGGAAATAAAAATACTGTCTTCAATAGAACACTAGAAACACTAAATATTGCAAACACAGAGAGGAGTTGTGACTATTCAAAGATTAATCTGTGATGTCCCAGAAGACTGGTAAGCCGCTGTCATCGAGAGGAAAGTGTTGTTAAGTCCACGCCAGTGTCAGCCTGTGACAGCAGGCCACATGTCACGTCCTGTGAGTTGATTTTTCTCCCATTCTCACCATTAAACCCTTTCTGTAAGAGAAAAACATTCTGTGGTTCTGCCTCAATTGATCGGACAAACTGAACAAGGCTGAGCCCTGGGCATTGCTCTAACTCAAAGCAACATAAATTTCCACAAGGGACACAAACCCAGAACAATAAGTATTTCTTAGTGTGCCGTGAGCAGTTATTAATCTGACATCCTCGGGGAACTGTGCAAAGGGAAACAGTGGGTGGTCAGAAGAAAAAGTCACATTATGCTACATAAATATGTACAATGATTCCTGTTTATTATCAATAAGAACTATTAAAAGCAAAAAGTGGCTGGACAGTGGTGGCACACACCTTTAATCCCAGCACTCAGGAGGCAGGGGCAGGTGGATCTCTGTGAGTTCGAGGCCAGCCTGGTCTACAGCATGAGTTCCAAGACAGCCAGGGCTGTTACACAGAGAAACCGTCTCAGAAAAAAATTAATAAATAAATAAGTAAATAAATAAATAAATAAAAAGTTTAAAGAGAAAATCTACAAAATTTATCAGTGCTATATGCACACTAAAAAAAAAAAAAAAAAAGAAAAAAGAAAAAAAAAACTCCAAAGATAGGTTGGAAAACTATCCCAGGGTAAAGTTAATAGACAAAAACAGGGGAAAACATATGAAATAAAATTTGAAGACAAGATGAAAGAAAACAGAAAAGTATATTCAAATAAATATCAACGTAGAGCAAGTTGGTAGGAGCACATGGTAGAGGAAAATAGGGGAGCTGAAGGGAAGAACTGAGGGCATATACAATCATATTTTATTATAAACATGTATGAAATTCTGAAGAATAAATGAAATTAAAGGAAAAATACAAAAAAGGATCTTGGCACAACTGGTACTGTTTCAGAGGACTGAAGTTCGAGTTCAGGAGAATGATTAATATGCCATATAACCAGCCTTTGCAGAATTAGTGTTGTGAAATGGCTGTGATCTATAGGCTCAATACAATCTTCCACAAAATTCCAATAATGTTCTTCACATAAGGAGGAAAAATAACTCTAAAATTCACTTGGAAGCACGAAACACACCAAACAGCAAAAAAGCAATCTCAAGAATGAAGAGCCAAGCTGGAGCTGTCATCATATCTGATTTCAAATTATACTAGAGCCACAGTTAGAGCATGACACTGGCATAAAACAGATGCATAGATCAATGTGCTACAACAGAATCCAGGAAAAAAAATGTGACTATAACCATCCGACTTTTTACAAAGGTATCAAAAGTATGTGCTAGAGAACAACACAGATAGGAAAACTGGATATCCACATGGAGAATGAAACTAGATACTCCCCACTCCGTGCCAAAATCAATTCAAAATGAATTAAAAAAAAAAAAAACTTTAATGTGCGACCTGAAACATTAAAACTACTCAAGGAAAACCATTTCAAGACACAGATAATGAATTTCCTTAAAAGACTCAGACTGCTCAAAAAGTAACAAGAATTGATGCATGGAACTGCATAAGATGTAAAACCTTTTATACGGTAACAAAAGCAAAAATCATGAAATTTGCAGATAACTGTAGATCTCACCTCTCATCCAAGAAGCCTCTTTTTACGTCAGAAGGAGACTGTTAGATTTGTGCTTAAATTAGAAGTACAAGAGAGATGAGACTATAGAGATACATTAACGATAGTTTATTATATCGTGAGAGAGAAATAGAAGGACAGAGCAGGACAGAGAGAGAAGAGAGACAGAGTTAATGGCTGATCGCCATTAGGGGAAGTTAGAACTTTTAAAGGGAAGACCGCGAATGCGCACTGAGGTTCCACGCATGCGCAGTCCTCACACAGGTCGGTAATGTGTGATGGGTGACATGGTGATGGCGTTAGCAGTCCCTTGCATGCCCGGCCCGTTGTCAGGTGGTGGGGTCAGTCTGATTGTCCTAACAGAAACTATTGCAGAATCACATAGCTAGTCAAAATACGAAGGACGGCTGACTGTGTGGTGCCCAGCCCCAATTATGCACCTACAACATAACTTCTGCATCCAAGGCTCAGGAAACATTATTAAAGTGGGGAAATGAGGGTGAGGAAGTGCTTCATGAGAGTGGCCATCCTGCTATGACATGAAATCTAAACAACATGGCTGCCTAAACAAGACCAATACCAGCTAACATCCCAGTGTAGATGAGGGAATCTCACAGAACTCCACCCCCAGATAAAGAGCTACAGGCGATTAGTAACCGCTGAGAGACAAAGGATGAGCCACCCCTTTGTTGATTTCCAGTATCAAGTGGTCTGCCTGGAAACAATACACACTCACACAGCACTAATGGACTCAGCAAGTTGTATTTACACGTATACATTGATCCATTGATTATGCATATGTTACAGCAGTGGTTAAAGAAAAGAACTGGGGGAGGGACCAGACGTGAGAAGGGTAGGAAGAAGGAGGGGGAGGGGAGCAATGATGTAGTTATATTTTAATTAAATAAAAAAGCAAAGTTCAGAGATAGAATATAGACTGGGAAAAAAAATCCTTGCAACCTTTTCATCTGACAGGAACCTGATATCCGAAATAGATAAAGGACTCAAAAGTCAAAAGAACTCAAAAAAAACTAAAATAATGCATTCAGTAAGTGGATAAGTGAATTGCATCTCGTACACCCACATGTCCTTGTCACTGAGAAAAAAAACTTTTCTAAATGCATTCTAGTCAGCCAGACTCCCGTCTCCTGCTGTGACTTCTCAAATATATTATAAGTTGTTCTTGGGCCTTTTTTCTGCTCTAATTCATGTCTGTATAGCTCTCCCATGTATCCTGGGTATATGGTGTGTTCATTAAAGAAACAGGAAGTACCATTAGTAAAAGACTGAAAGCAGAGCCAGAATCTAGTGTCTGGCCATAAGGGGGCAGTGTCTTCATTTGTAAACACTTTCTAGATTCGTTCTAACACCCGAGAAACAGCCAATGAGTGGTCAGGTTAGCTGATACACAGAACAGGTTGTTTTTAATTCACAATGGTAATTAAATCGTGTTACTTTGAGCCTAGATGAGTTTCTTGAAACAGGAAACCATTTAGAAAAGAATCGCTTGCTGCAGAGATGTTCCTTGAAGGTCTATTAACAATCCTCTGGGTGCAAATAGCATGTAAGTCTCAGGGGCTTCTTCTTCATCCACGGGGAATTCTGAAGTGGAAGAAACTCTATGAGGGAATGAGATGAGGATTTATCCAAGTCTAGAAAAAGACACCAAGGAAAGCTAGAGGAGAAGGGAAGGCAGTGTACAGAGCAGAGCTGGGTACTTGTAGCGAACAGCATCCTCCGTGAGTCTGAGAAAGGTGGTCTAAGCCAACTGAACTGCTTTCTTTGTCTTTCCATTTAGTGGTGAATGGTCAAGTTCTGAGTCAGAGCGTTCAGTATGTATCCATCCCAGAAGGAAAGGATGCCTCCATGAGCTGCAACTCCTCAAGTACACTTAACAACGTTCAGTGGTACAAGCAGGACCCTGAAGGAGGCCTGGTCCTCTTGGTGGCCGTATATAAGAGTGGAGAGTTGGTCAGAAATGGCAAAGTGACTGCTGAGTTTGGTGGAACAAGGAAGGACAGTGTCTTGACTATCTCAGCCTCGGAACCTGCTGACTCAAGTACCTACTTCTGTGCAGGACAGCACAGTGCGCCCCAGACATCTGCAGCCTGTATCAAATCTGCAGCTGCAACTCCAGTCATGATGCTGCCTATAGCTCCAGCTCCTTCAGTGTGAAATGTGATGACATATGTACCTGCTGTTCTGGGGCTGAAAATCCTCATTTACTCAAGGGTCTGCCCTCAAAAGAGCCAGTAGTACTGGGAGCAGAGGAATCAAGAGAAAACTGCTCACTAATGCAATGCAAAAATACAACCAGGAGAGACATCTAAACCAACAGATGCAAAAGTCACAAAATTAAAAACAAAAAAAAGCAAGATGTGATGATATATTGTTTATGATTTATTAAAGCCACTGGAGATCAAAATAGCAAAGTAGCCCATACTAGTTAGCCATAGAAGCCAGGTGATGGTGCTGCACACCTTTAATCCCAGCAGCCATAGAGCTAGGTGGTGGTGGTACATGCCTTTAATCCTACCACTTGGAAGGTAGAGGTTAGTTCAAGGCCACACTGAGTTATATGAAACTAATCCAGTCCTAAAGAGAAACAGCTCACACAAAGATCATCTCAGAGCTTGGGATCACAGACCTTTAATCCGAGCACTAGGAGATGGATTCTCTAGCCATGCTGAGACTGAGAGGCAGCAGTCTGAGGTTTGGTAGAGAGTTCGTGGAAACAGGATCAACCCTTTCAGCTTGAGGTAGACGTAAGAGCTAGTAGCTGGTTGCTTTGCTTCTCTGATCTTCAGCTTGAAGCTGGAACCCAATATCTGTCTCTGGGTCTTTTTCATGCTACAGCAAGACAATGCAACTCTTTTGAAAGAGCACTTCCCCCACCTAAAGGGATGCTCTCTCAGCCTGGACACATGGGGAAGGACCTAAGCTGGGCCCAGGATGATGTGGTGGACTTTGGGGAGCCCCGTTGAGGGCCTTACCCTCCCTGGGGAGTGGAGGGAGGATGGAGGGCAGGTGGGGGTTGGGGGGAGGGTTGGGGGAAGGGTTGGGGAGGGGAGGGGAGAGAGAAGAAGAAGGGATTGACATGTGAAGCAAGCTTGTTCCTAATTTGAACTAAAACAAACAAAAAAGAGCATGCTTCCTCAATTACTGAATTCAAAGAAACTGAGATAGGTAGAATGCTGATGTTATCAACATTTTACTAGCAAAAAAAATGATAAATGACCTCAAAACAGCTACAAACAAAGCAGATGAACTCAATCAAGGGCTGCAAAGGAACAGAAGCAACACAGAGAAAAGGTCATCAAATTGGATGAAAAGTCAGCACATGGATGAAAGAGCAGCAACATGAAAGAAAAACTCATAAGACTACTAGATGAGCAAAGGAGAGCCAGGGAGTAATCAATCATGCACATGCACGCACACACACATGGACACACTCTAGAGCACACACACACACACACACACACACACACACACACAAACACACACACACAAACACACACACACACCCTAAAACAAGACAGAAAACCCCTGATTCTAATCAGTGTTTTAGTCCAATTTTTGTTGCTGTGTGTAATAAAAGTCACTTTAATAAATAAAGGTCATTTTTTATTTTAAAGGCCTACATTCCCAGGCCTACATTCCCAGCTTATAGTCCATTATGCAGGGAAGTCTGTCACTTGAAGAAGCCAGTGACATCCACAGGAGCAGCAGAGTCAACCTGCCATATCACTCTGTCTTCTTTCATACAGCCCAGGAACCAACCTAGGAACAGAAGGAACAGACGTCAACATGATATAGGTTACATAGGATAAACCTCCAGTCAACACATGCTGACAAGAGAAAAGTATTTCCTTTACACTCAGTAACAAGACAAAAATGCCACTCTCTTTACTATTATTCAGTATCGTGCTTAGAGTCTCAGATAAAGCAACAACTAAAATAAAGACTAAAAAGGGACAAAATAGTAAAAAATAGGTCAAATTATCACTATTTTCAGACCACATAATCTCTTACTTAAAAGACCCTAAAGGCTCCACAAGAAAACTCTTAGATTTGATAAGAAAAAAAGTTCAGCAAAGTATTAGTATACAACATCAACACAGAAAACCCATAGGCCTGGGAAGATAGCTCAATTGGTAAAGTGTTTTCCTTGCATCCATGGGGACCTGAGTTCAATTCCCATATTACTCACATTAAAAAAAAAAAGATGGAAGTTATGGTACTCACTTGAAATACATGTGCTGGAAAGGAAAGACAGGAGGCTCCATGGGGTCCAAGCCTACTTGTTGAGTTCCAGGCCAGTGAGAGATCCTGCTTCAAAAAAACTAAGGGTGAATGGCATCAAAAGAATTCTGAAGTTGTCTTTTGGTACACACACACACACACACACACACACACACACACACACACCTGCATACACAAGTACATTCACACAAATAAGTATACTCAAACACACTCCAAAATATCCAATAGCTTTACTATACACCAATAATGACATACTGATAAGGAAGTCAGATAAACAATCCCTTCCAGAAAGCCTCAAAAATTAAATAGTACAAATAAAATTAACCATGAAAGTAAGAGACATTTACCATGAAAAATTTTAAATAGCAAATGAGCTAGTTAACTTTAGCTGTCAATTTGGCCCAGCCTAAGGAGGGAGTCTCAATTGAAGAATTCCAAGTTATATTAGCTCATAGATGATGTCTTTGGGGTATTATCTTTATTGCTAATTAATGTGGAAGGGCCCAGACCACTGTGAGCCGTAGCACTCCATGTGTGCGTGGTCAAGGTGAGGACACAAGATGAGGGTTGGGCTCTTAAGGGGCAGCAAGCACATGGAAGGCGCTTCTCTCTGGCCTCGATACCTTGCTGCCTTGGGCACTCTCTGGCTTGTGTTTGGCTGGTGTTTTTCTAATAAAGGGTATCTTTATCCCAAGCTCCTTTTATTTCTTAATAGAGGTTATGTAGCTAGTGAGGAAACTTGTGGGAGCAGGTGATCTTCCAAGGAAGGGGAAATAGAATACAGTTCTATAAATGGATAAAAGAGAAGCTAGAATGAGAGAATTAAATAGGGAGAAGGATTGGAGAACAGGCTAAAAGAAAGAATAT